GCCAAATTTATTAATTACTATAGCTTGAGGAAATCATAAAAATTTTCAAATTGCTCTAAATGTGAGGTCTATCTCACATTTAAAGCAATATAAAAATTTTAGTAAATTTATATTAACTAAATAAATTAAATTATTAGTATGAGAGAGAGAGAGAGAGAGAGAGACGCGTTAATATATATATTAATTAATATATATATATCGACCGTTATAACATAACAACGTTTCACTGTTTTTAAATTTCTTTAGTTAGTATAAATTTTTAATATTTAATTTTATTTTTAGTTTTGTAGTATTTAATTTTGTATAATTAATATTAACACGTTGAAAACGTGATAAGTTTTAAATCGTCATTTAAATTTTCTTTATTTTCGTATATATAATAATTTCGCAATCAGTTATAATGATTTAAAAATTACACAGTACTTGACGACAAGGTCTAATAGATATTTTTTGTAGAAACATTTTACGCATTACGTGATTAGAAAGTCAAACAAATGCGAAAATACAGTTCAATAAAAACATTATCAAACATGTGGACAAGGATATTCTGATAACATTGAATTAATGCTGCTAAACACGATAATGATGATAAACAATATTACAGCGTTGCCCTGATTGTAGTGTTCTAAGCGAGTGCATTGCAGTGTTCTCACAGGTTGCAAAATTTTGGAAATTTTTATTGTAAAAATATTATTTCTTGAATTTTCTCTTATTACTCAACATATCATTATTCACGTTATCATAACGAATCAATTTAGATCATACTACAGATTGTGAAGCTTGAGGGATGCTTATTTCTTATTTAACTTATACGGATATATGTATACATTTAGAAAATTATAGCAAAATATAAGAAAAAAGAAACAATATTATTATGGTCTACAACTTTTAATTCTCGGCCTCTATATTCAAATGACTACAGCATCTATATTCAAATTTTAATCTTTGTTTCGCCATACAGTTGTTTTAAAGCGTCATCCTTAAGCTTTAAAATAGGTATAATAGGTGTCGGTACTGCGAATCTAAACTCAAAAGATAGTAGTCAAAACTATGCCGTTCGAAAGTAGCATTTGAAGTATTGCCTCCTTTTTGCATTCCAGCTGAAGAAAAATGCCGCGGAAACTCAATAAATGATTTGTTCGTTTCAGGCAAAAAAAAACTGTGCCGTATAGTACATGTAAAAAGTGATTCTAAAGATTTCGTGATGGTAATTTCAATTTTTTTCATCGTAGAATTCATCGACTTAAAACAACCGTCTTTTCTGAAGCGGAATCCGACAGTTGCTCGAAATATGGCGAAAATGTGTGGAAAGTAAAGGGGAGATTACTTTGATTAGATTAATATTCATTCTTTTCATAGACATTACTATGTCTATCTCTTACGAGATAATTTTATATCGAAACTAAAAATGGCCGAGAATTAAGTTGTAAGACCTAATAAGTGAAAATCAATAAAATTAAACACATATAAGTAAAAAATGTTACATTCAATGTTATTCGGTAAAAGCAGTTTTTGTATCTAATAATATTTCGTTACACACAGTTTGATTGAACCGGAAATTAATTAATTATAAATTCATAAGAGAAATATTATTAGATAGGCAAAATTGCCTTGACCGACTACTCACTGAACCAAAACTGTACGTAAATACAATAAAATATTCATTGAATTAATGAAAATTGGTCCAATGAATTTTCATAATAATTTAGATTATAGAACTAATACTAAAATTCATTGCAAGAATAAATATTTAATTATATTAATGAATCCAGTTATTGTATTGATAAATTAACTTCATTAAGTAGGACATTAAGTTTGACATTGATATTAACGATTATTCGTTGGACCCACATTTTTTTCAGTGTAGTATTTTTCATTCAAGCGCAGAGGAGAAAAGTATACAATTTTAAAAACTCACCCGTTAATTCCATTACCAAGCAGTCCGTTCTGCATGCTAATTTTTCCCCCTTCCACCATGATCGAAGTTACGTTCCACGCACGGTCGATTTACAATACGCATACGATACACAGCTGAAATCAGAAAATAAAATATTAATGCACATAACACATAGAAGATCGTTATATATATATATATATATCGATATTCTCTGGAAAGGATGTTTGCTATATAATTGCAATCACATAAAAAATTACTTATTCATTGCGGAATACTTACGTCGTACAGAAAAAAAACAGATTTCGCAAAGATTCTAGATAATAAGCAAAATAATACATATGAGGAAAACTTACGCAAATTTGCCACAAAAAATTTATGCATTTATAATCTATTTCTGTAATTGTATTGTATAATATATAGTAGATTGCCATTACTTTAGAAAAGTTATGATAAAATACGTGCACCAAAAAATACTATATTTTTATGTTTAATTAAAGGGATTATTTAGTTGTGGAATGCACAACTCAAGAAATGGCATAATTATTTAATTATTTTATTTTGATTTGTTAATTTACCGACAGTTTACATTCTAAACGGGCTGTGTATCTAACGTATCAATATAAATCTATGTCCATTGATTGATGTGTTTCTTTGCTCTTTCTATGCTCCTTTTGATCGCACGTCGTTTTCTAATTATAGGAGTTACTTCATCAAGGTTAATGCAACTGACAGACGAAGTTCATGTTCAACAGCGTCTTGCAATATTGCGCGTATCTTGTACAGATGCATGCAGCCACAATCGTGAGCGATTGTGTGCAATTCAGTTTTCATTTACGGATGATTACTGTGGAGTTCATGGGTACGGTATTATATATGTATGGAAGAAACACAGAGTGCGATCCATTATTCATCAACATTATACATCACGTAGCGATAATCAAACGCGTTTCATAATATCCTTTTTCGCCACCTCTCTTCGTCGCGCTTGCTCCGCAGACAACCAAATAACTGGTGCTTACTTCGCTCAAGGGCATGCACAATTATTCCTTAATATTTTAGGTTTTTAAATTTATCGCGAAATTTGTATTGACTCATAAAACGAAAGATATTTGCTGTTTTCCGTTTAGCATATTTACATTATTCATTAATTATGAACTAATATTAGTCCTTGCGTTATTTTCGCTCAGAGAATCAGAAAGGAGATAAGATTAATTTTAATTGCTTATATAAACATTATCCCGGTTCTATATGGATTACTTTTCTTTTTTCTGAAAATTGCGCAGTTCTACGCTACGAGTAAAATAAGGCTAATTATAAAGTTGTAAATACCTTCGTGTGCAGTTCCATTATGATTCCTCTACTTGTCACATGAGCATGTCGAAAACGTAGAATTATTGTATTGAGAAAATATGTATTATATATCGAATGTCTCGAAGAACGCACGATACAAAGGCAACGCACGCAATTTCATCGCAAATTACGGAAAATATTCCAAGTAGCTCTCAGCACGACGGCACATGTGCACGAACGCACACTACTAACAGATAACGATAAATGCTACGTAGTACCGTTGCAGCTGGCACGATATAATGGCCAAAACACGCTAGCGATGTATCTCATGCAACTTTCACACACTCATTAGAGTACATTGCTCTTAAACTGGCCTTTATTTAGTTTCTAAATCTCTATTAAGTATAATTTATTTAATTCCTATTATAATTATAATTCATTTAGTTTCTAAATGTGTAAATATAATTTATTTAATTATCAAAATCACTTTATTCTCTTTGGAAGTTACATTTTTTATCGAAGTTATCAAATTGCTGAATATTTCGAAATATCAAACGTACTAAATCTTTAATAAGTATAATTTATTTAATTTCTATTATAACTATAATTGAAGATGTGTGAATCAATTTGAATTCGAATACAATCCAATCATCAGTGGTTCAATTTCGAATTCACCTCTTTTATTTGCTTCATTTTAATATAAATCCGGGAAAGTTGGAATCATTTTCGAATAAAAAAAATCCGATATGTTTCACAAATGTTTGATTCGCATACCTCTAACTATACTTTATTTAGTTTCTATTGTATTAAGTATACTTTATTTTCAAAATCTCTATATTCTTTTTAGTAGTTAGATGTTTTTATTGAAATTATCAATTGCTCTCGAAAATCTCGAAATATCAAGTATAATACGCATATTAATACTTATACATATATACAGGGTGCCCCGCCAGAACTTTTCCAATCTCGCATAGAAAGGTACAGATAAGATCGAAATAAATACAGAAGTCCTATACCGTTTAACGATTCTCGCAATATTTTAATATAGAGATTAAGTTTTGAAATTAACTAATAAAAGCGCGCTTTGAGAAACGTTCCGGCCGCACAAGATATAGCCCATTTCTTCAAATATAGGCTGCGTTGGCAACAGTTGGCAATTCGTTAAAAAAGCAAGAAGAGAAACGCGCCGTTGCTCAGCGCCGCTCACATGTCGCCGCGCCGCACCGACAGATTACGATAGAAATTAATTAGATTTTCTGTATATTTCGTAGACTTCTCTCTTTCAACATTTTTATTCGTAGAAGTTTATTATGGTTTGTATTTGTCCTGTTTTGGCAGTATTACTATTATGCATTTGTAATGTAATCGCGAATGTGCGTAGCTGTCATTTAACGCGAGTTCCTCGGTGCGGCGCGGTGCGGCGAAACATGCGAATGACGATGCCGGGTGCCGAACAACGGCGCGCTTCCCCTCTAACGCATTGCCAACGCAGCCCATGTTTGAAAAAGTCGGCCGGGCTATACGTCGAGCGGCCGGAGCGTTTCTTAAAACACGCTCTCATTAGTATATACAATTTCAAAAATTAATTGTAACTTCTGCATTTATTTCAATTCTATCTACCTTCCTGTGCGGGATTGGAGAAATTTCGCGGGACACCCTGTATATTTTAATTTAAATAATACAATCACTGTAAGTATATTTTAACTAACACGTGTCTCCAGATATTCTTTGCAAATTTTATGTAAGCTTTCCTTCAATTTTATTCCAAACAATTATCGTTGTATATTGTTGTATTTTAATATAATAATAATTTATTATTTAATATTAATAATAAGATTCGCGATTTAAAAGACTTCGTAATATATAAATTCACACAGAATTATAATAGCACCTAAGATCCAGCTCGACCGTTAAAGGCAATTTCTTATTGATTGTGTTTCTCACATGTACGGTCTTATAAGATTTAAGTATTAATAATAAGAGTTATAAATAAATTGATTTCGAATTTAGACAAAATTTTCGCTGATTAATATGCAAAGCATATAATGTTTCAAGCTTATAGCTTTTCTCCACGTTCGAGGATGATTTTCATCAAGATCATTATGATTCGAGCTATAATCATACTAACATAACGAAATTAATAACAAATATCGGATCTAATCATTACACCAAAAAAATTGTATTCTTAATTAAAAATATCCTACTTATTATATGTTTTCCTCTAAAAGAAGTGCTAAGACGATCCCTTTAATGTGGCATAGTCAAGAGGGGTCTGTGAGGGCTGCAGCCTCCCTCCGAAATTCTGAATAATTTCAATAATTTCATAAAAATGTGTAAAAAATTGTTGAACCGTAAATATCAATTTGTTTTGAGAGAAGAAATTAAATCCTGTTGGGATAGTTCTCATATTTAAATTAGTTGCAAAAATATCATTTATTATGTATGAAAAATATATTTTTTGATTTGTTCTTAATTTAAAAGGGAAATTGTCTAAAAATTATTTTCTTAATATGAGAACAGGGTGTTCTATTTTAGACTACATCAAATATTTCTTGAACAATACACTTTAGAGAAATATGTTTTGAATAAAATTGCATTTAAGGACACAAATAGTGGCAAAATTGATTATTGTAAAAACTTAATTTTTTAAGATTACATGGAGACGATCCTCATTTTATTAAATAAACCTGTATAATATTTTTAATGTGATTCTTTTAATTATTCAAGAATAATATTTTCAACTTCGATATTACTATCAAGGTGGATCTCATCGAACGATTATGGTTTCAATCATATGGATACAAGCTTGCAAGCACGTGCCTGCGCAACCTGATAATCAAAAGACTACGCGAGCACGACTCAGTGTGAAATAATGAATAAATATCACTGATATTCACTTAAAACACACGCGTAGCGACGATTTCCTTCACAAATCAAGAATCTATTCTTAAATTAAGAGGCATTATTAAGTACATCTTTCAAGAATACAATTTTTTCAGTGATATATTTAAATATTTTATTTTGCCCATCTCTCTTTCAAAAATATCTTTGAATTATATATGTATATAAATATCATAAATATTCTGCATTATACGTCTATTATTATATACGTCTTCACCGAGACACTACCGTGTGTGTGTTGTGTCTCCTGATTCCTAGTCTCTCTCCCAACACGATTGATTTATGAAAAATGAATGATTAATGAAACTATCATTATTAGTAATGCGTACAAACATCTCAGTTTATATCATTGAAATAGTGAGGATAATTAATAATAGTTACCTGAATGTGTGCCGCGACTTCGCTCGATCTCTTTGCAAATTCCAACTTGGTGGAAAAAAACCGGCGTGATTAGTCCTGCAGGGTGAGCCCGGGGCGAGAAAAGAAGGATGAATCGGAGAGGACGGAGATAAGCGACGCCACACACTCACGCGCGTGCTAATTCGCAACGCGACATCACACTAAGCTCGCCGATCGATCGCACGCCGGCTACGTCTTCTAATCGGCACGGACCTCAGCGTCCCCGTTCACGGACCTCGCGCAGCGGATTGGTCGTCGATAAAAGCCTTTGGCGTCGACAAACTTTGACACCCGCTGCTTCTCCCGACCCCACCAAGTCGCGAAAGGCACGAACGCGACCGTTCGTTCGCCATTCACGCACTGCGGCCTTTAATCATGTATTCGTATGCGTTCTTTGACAGCGAGTCAGCTGACCAACTGAAGCTTGGTAGTAGGTATGACGCATGTGTGATGCAGATTTAAGTGTGTCAGATATACAGATTTGTGTGTCATACACGCACAACTGAAATCCGACTTTGTTACCAATTGTGTTAAGAGGTAGGTTCTACATCTTTGATGATTCTTCAAAATAAAGTTAAGACAAAGTTTAGATTATTCGTAAAGAACGATTAGTTAGCGATAAACTTGTCGCAACCTTTTGATCTTTGATGACATCTTCATGTAGTTGATAGCTTTTATCAGCCTTCGGTATGGTAGCTAACTGCTCATCGTTCAAGAATTGAGGATAATTTTTGTAAATAAATAGAAAGTTATAAAAATATACATATGTTTTCTTTTAAATTATTTTTTTTTATAAATTTTTATCTATCAGCCTAAGTATAATAAATGCTTTAGAACCTTGTGAATACTGATTTGTTTATAATAAGACTTGTGAAGATTTTTGAGTATCCTAACACCATCTTGCGGTTGCGGAACGAGGTGCACTACTGCGACTAAATTTAATCGCGATTGTTTGAGAACTACGATGCGTCGAGCTATTATTTTTAGCTCCTACGAAATTCTACTGAAAATGTACGAACAATTTTTGATATATATTTATGGTATACGTAAAATAAATGTAATGAAGTATGTACATCACAAACTATTTATTCGCACGTTAAAAATGGGAAGACAAAACAGTATATGTATGTATATAAGAAAATTCTATTTCTCGCAGACATAAAATACGTGTGTTTCCTTCTTGTTTAGTACATTTACTTCAAAATTTAGAAATAGATAAAAGAAATTACAAAAGCATTTCTTCTTTCTTGACTTCGTCGTCGTGCTTGCCGCCGGAACATCAATATACATTTAATTTCGGCGTAACTCTTCTAATGTGTTAAACCAGTTCTCCAGGCACGCGACGATTATTTGTCAAGTTCAACGGAGTCTCCTGGCCTCTCGTTCGGATTCCAACAACGTCAGAATGTCACCTTCGCGAACGGGACCTTTGACATTCCTAATCAGCTGCCTGTTCTGCTCGTTCAGGAATTCTACTTTGACCTGCGTGCATTGTCCTTGAGATCCCGTCCTGCCTAGGACCTTCACTACTCTCGCCCGCACTATAGGTTTCTCCATGCTCTCGTTTTGCGAGCTATTATCTTATCTGTGCGATCACGCACGTAGAACAGCTCTCGCTCGTGTTGCAATATTCGCAATCCGTGCTACACTGAACGTGCAAGTCGCTTAGACCAACTTGGACCACATGCGGGCCACATGCAGATCAAATATCATCTTGGCAACATTCCAGAGAAAGAGAGACATAGTAAGCTAGATAAGAGTGTCTTAGAAAGGACTTCGCACTAATTATATATGGTTAGTTTCACAGTGAAATAAGTTCGTTTTCACGTATTTATATAATGTGATGAACAAAATATGTAATAGACTCAATAATATAGTTTTTGAGTTTTGGCATTTCAAATCACCACCCATTGTCTAGAAGACTTCTTCATGATGTCTTTTTTAGATATCTTTTAGACAAGTATGTCCTAAAAACCATCTTTACACGAGGTACGTTCCAAAACTTAACTCTTGAGTATCTTTTATTCTTGTTCAACATTTGATGAACAACAAAGATAGAATGATACTCGAGTTCAGAGTCTAATTTTGGAATGCAACTATGACGATCTTATAACATCTTTTAGACATGCATGTTGTCTGGGTTATCTATGATGTAAAACTGATGTAGAACATTTGATACGATACACCATATTCAAAAGAACTATCTATTGTAATCAGTGTTCGATCTTATCTGGATAAAATTATCTAGATGATCATCTAGATGAAATTTTGATGCCATCTCATCTTTATCTAGATAATAAAAATATTAATTATCTTTATCTGCATTTTAGATGAAAAAAAGTATCATCTTTATCTAGAATAATGTTTAGATACTTTGGTTCATATTTTACATTGCTAAAAATGTGAAAATATTATAATTTTTTCTTCTATGCAGTTAATGTTTACAGAAAAATTTTCAGCCTCAGGAAGAGAGTGAGTGCATCTAATATAGCATATATAATCATTCACATTGCTCTCAAATGATCTTTTTATTCCTGCACTAGGACACTTAATTCTGATTGATTAACCTAGAGCTGCCCAAAGTCGGTGTTTTTTTTGCTCGAAATCGAAATGTATCGTGTCGGTATTCACGCTCTACTGTTCCTACTTCTCACTTCGTTGATGTTTTATCGTAGTGCGCGATGCTCGATTCATGGATGACACTAATCCGAAATCGAAAAAAGTTTTTGACCTGTGTCTTTCACTATATTTAAAAGAATGTTATTATTAATATTATAAGATACACTATTATTCATAACCGTAATGATTATGACATGCTTGCTTTCATGCAACTAATATAGAGGAAAAGGACTGTATAGAATTTTTATGTGTTCTTCATTATTTTTTTGAAAATTGTGAGAGACATTGTAAGAGACAAACGAAGTATTATCTACATATTAAAATTGTAAAATTTAATATTTCACGGTGGTCCTCGATTGAATTCAACCCTGACTTTCCTGCACCTCTGATTTTCCTTCTGGAATTGGTTTTGGAACATTTCAGGACCATTTTGCAATAAATATTAAAATCGAAGAGTGAGCACTTTTTTTTAAATCGAGTTTTTATGTTTCAATGTGAACGAATTTTAATTATTTTGCATATTTTTTAAAATTATATATTTACATGCGTTTGTGCGTGTGCCTGTATGTGTATGTGTGAGTATGGGTGTGGTGGTGTGTGTGTGTGTGTATGTTTTGTTTTGTACGTAAACAATCGCGCGGTTACGTGTTATATGCGTTCATAAATATATAAGTATAGTAAGTTCTTCATTTTATATTTTAGTTTCAATTAACTAATTGCTATTTGTTACATATATATTTAATTCGAAGAAAATATATACAATAATTACATTTCGTTCAGTACTTAATTACCTTCCACATGTACGCTTGAAATGATTATATTGAAACTATGGATTAAAATTTAAAAACTCGATTTAAAAAAAAGTGCTCACTCTTCGATTTTAATATTTATTGCAAAATGGTCCTGAAATGTTCCAAAACCAATTCCAGAAGGAAAATCAGAGGTGCAGGAAAGTCAGGGTTGAATTCAATCGAGGACCACCGTGATTTTTTAATTATTTTGAGAAAAAACTGATTCTTAATTTATAAATAGTCTTAAAAATAAAAAATTATCTGGAATTTTTTAGATGAATTGTCAGATAAATTTATCTATATTATCTAGATTAATTTAAATGTAATCATCTTTATCTTATCTAAGATAAATTTCCAAATTTTCATCTTATCTTTATCTAGCTAATTTTAAAATCATCTATGCACAACACTGATTGTAATATTCTGTCTATTAAGGGGATGCTGGATCCACGAAATTGTGGATACTTACAGTCTTAAGAAAATCTCCGAAACGACTGAACGGAATGAGAAATCCCTTTACAGGATTAATATACATACAAAATTAGTTAGTGGCGTTGAGAATTATATGCTAAAATCGAAAAAAAGTTAAAAACTTACATTTTTTCAACTCGTAGATGTGTGTCACCTGACGAGAATATTTCCTTGATAACCAAGTTTTACTACTTGTATGGACTAAATAATTCAACATCACCCGGCGTATTACGTGAACAAACAACACTTCGACTTTACAGAATTGAGATTGAAAGCACCAAACAAGATATTTTCATTGTAATGCAAAAATGGTAAATTGCCGATAACGAAACTATAAATTTTTAATTTTTTTCCGTTTTTCATATTGAAATGTAGCTAAAAGATACATTTATAAAATAAGAGTGGCCCGTATTTACATTGGCTGTATGTGTGTGTGCACGTGATTTCAATACTCCTCTCTGACGTCGTCAGTTAAAAACCTGCAATTCAGCTACATAAAGCAGAAACGCACAACACTGTAGTTATATTATATTACGGTAGTACATCTGCGTCATTTCTCCTTGCACTTACCTTGTCCAGATCCGGATAAATTTCAAAGCCGCCACTTGGTCAGCGAAAATCTGACGTCAATAAATGAACAATCTTGATGAGCGGTTTCACGGAAGAAAAGCAACTCGCTCATTGTTACAATCGTTTATTCATTTGTGTTTTAGTACAAACGTGACGTCCCTCGATAAATTCAAGACACGCAGTACATTAGCGCCGAAGGTCCGACGAGGTTCTTCACCCCGTTTCTTCGTCCTGGAAAAAAGATCTCTCCACACGCCCGCGTCTCTGTACATACACTCGCGCACAGTCACACACGAATGCATTCACATTCTTTCTGTCGTATAAAATCACGGTAGTGGAAAAAGATTGCGGTACTCGGTATGATGGTCGTGTGACGTTATACATTGGACATCGATGCATGCATACATGTGTATGTGTGTGCATTTGAACACGTGGTACAATCCTAGAAGCGACAAATGGATTGAAATGAATTCTTACATATTGCACCCTCCGTACCTTCCTCTATACATTTTGCGTTTTCTTCGATCTATTTCACGAGCGGAATCATCACGGGTTTACAATAAAGAATTTGCGCATTTACTGATAACGCTCGTGAAACTTGAACACAGAGCGCGTGTGGTATGATAAAAAAAAAAAAGAGAAAAAGTACAATCTAGATCGTTATTCCGATCTCTTTCCGTCCACACTGACCTTTTAGAGCGCGACTTGCGCAATATTATGAGTTTTGATACAAACAAGAAATTATGTATCACAATCGAGCATGAACGGGATTATAGCTGTTCATTATTAAAGGAGACAATCTCGATACGTTGATGTACTGTAAGTTCGAATCTCGATTTTATGGATGAATGAATCGAGAGAAATTACAGTATATCCTAATATTGCTATATGAAGATATAGTGCGCGCTTTTTCGGGATAAAAAACTTTCCAAAGCAGCTTATCGAGGTCTGTTAACGGTTATCAATTTAACAACGTATCACACGTACGTGCATATGAATCTATTATTGGGATATCATATATTTACAAATGCCACCGTAAACACGATCTTCTTATCGCAGCGAATAAAATTTTCTTTTACACCTAAATGTCATGTAACATTTGCTTCTTCTTTTGGTTAACATCAGGTCATTAACATTCTACGTAATTACGCAGAAAGCTAATTGACCAATATATTTTTTGGCATGGTATATAATTACTTCATTTCATTTATCAATTCAGTAAATTATATAGAAATTAAGTTTTATAATACAATAACATAATTAATGAAAAACATAATAATTTAAAACAATGTTTGTATACTAAAATTGTTTCCCTTTTCGTACCACTATCGTGATAATTATGCCATATATCTTTTCGACGACGAGTAATAAGTACAAATATAATCAATAAGACCTTGTAATATATATAACTCTAAAAATATAGAAATTTATTTTTCACCTTGCACACACAGGTTAATGCACATATTTTCTTTTAATTTAATACATCCAATATTAGAATTATATAACGCGAAAAGCATGCGTGCAAACTCTTCAGCGAAAAATGATATTTGATTCTGCAATGCTGGAAAAATATATTTTACAATAGCCAGACTTCTAAAAATCTCAGTAATATTTCCAAATATACATATATTTAGCAACGTTATATATAATACTATCATTTATGAAATAAAATGAAATAAAAATTATCATATACGCGTGAATTGTAATTATAAATTCTGTAAAAATTAATGTCTATTATAGTATCACCTATAAAAATTGTTCTAAATTCAAAGAATCATTACATGGCAAGAAAGAGAAAATTATTATACAGTCATTATACAATCATTACACAAGATAACGCATCGAATAATTTCAGACGGTTCACAGAAATTATATCTTGACTATTACAATATTTCGTATTTATGTAATATAAGTAAATCTAACAAGGGAAGTATCACAACTGTCCGACTCCGATTTGATTCTCCATGAAATATGTTGTTAAGCACGAAAATCTAAGAGACACGTATTTTTTTATACGTGCCCTAACTCATGTTTAAGGGGTGAAACACCCCTTTGAAAAAAAACGGTATGTTTCTTTCGAGGCGAATATCGTCGGAAGTATAAAAAATATAAAAACATTTTTTGAACAAAATTTTTGAACCATTTTCGAGAAATGGTATGTTGTAATATAACTTTATTACACATGGTTGAATTCGTAAAAAAATAATCTATAATTTGGTAAAGAAAAAATATGAAAATTTAAAAAATTATGGGTGGTGGGGGTTTAACTTTGTTAAACAAAAAAATTAAAAAATTGTTTTTTCTTTGTATTGTTAAAGTACTCTTGAAACCGTACAACTTTTGTTTAAAAAAATTTTTTATATCTTTTATACTTCCGACGATATTCGCCTCGAAAGAAAAATACCATTTTTTTTCAAAGGGGTGTTTCACCCCTTAAACATGAGTTAGGGCACGTATAAAAAAATACGTGTCTCTTAGATTTTCATGCTTAACAACATATTTCATGGAGAATCAAATCGGAGTTGGACAGTTGTGATACTTCCCTTGTAAGTACTCAAACTTAAGTATTTTTTTCTATATTTTTCTAGAATCGATTTCTGGTAATGTATAACAATAAAGTGGTAATGTAGTAAAGAAATGTGTATGTAAAGTAAAAATAATATCAAAATATAAATACTGCTTTCCTATCACTTACATGGATAACGAATGTTGCTATATATATAATTAGCTAAACAATATTACCATTACCAACAAACACAATATACATTTTTAATAAAAAGTATTGCGAAATTATGAGGCAAAAATAAAATTTTCATAATAGATCGTATTGCCTTGTTGTTCTGACCTTGTCGACATTCATTCATTGATACAGATAAAAAAGTGGGAAACATATTCATTGTTATGTACACTTATAATTTTGTACGTAACATATAAAAAAACGTTATAATTAATGTTCTCTTTAACTCTTTAATAAAACACGTCCTTACCCCTGTAAAATCAACATCTATATATTACATATATCTCATCTTCCCATATTGACCTTCCCATATTCCTATTACGACCGATTAATGTTAATAATTAATTTTGCAGCGAGTTTCGATTGTATGCAAATTAAAAATATTTACAATTAGTTTTAATCATTTTCATTTTCGCCGATTGTTGAATAAATAAATCCGAAGGGATGTATTCTCGCACATAGGCCGCAAATCGTATTTAAAAAAACGTACACATACACACACATACTCTCTCTCTCTCTCTCTCTCTGTCATTAACGCAAAATTTATCTCATCTTTCGCTTTATACAAATCTTCCATTGTTCGAATTTTTTATAGACTATGATAAGTGTAACAACACTTAGTACTCGCACTTAGAAGCAACGCTCAGGCAGCTAGTGATTGGTCAAGTGTGAGCTTTTTACAATAAACGCTTCTCTTCCCCATCCTTTTCTCCTTTATGATAATAATTATTAGCTATTAGGTAAATCGTTGATGAAATTACGATATGAAAAAAGAGCGATTATATGAAACGACGCTATTTCTATAATCGCCTTGATAAAATGTCGTGAACGATCATTGCTCTCGGTGTTCGTGAATTGCTGCTATTCGAGATATTATTATGATATTATTATGATCATAAAATATAAATAATGCGATTCATTTACCACCGAAATACCCGTCGTAACCACAATTGAACGTGGCAAACTATATGTAATGTAAGATGAGAATGAAAGACTTGTTTTAACGATCCGTGTGTCCTACCCTGCCTACCTATAGAAATCACTATTTTGTTCACGTTCGTTGGAGGGACACGGAGTCTCAAATGGGCCTAAGGCTCCTGGCGAGTTCGTAGTAATTGGCTATAAACGTTCGCGATTTTAATTCGATACCGAATAGAGCCCGACGTATATTGCCGTCGCGAATCGGCTTACTGTTGTAATGCGCAATTGAAAGTAGCCTAACCCTCTGTCCGGACTACTTACTTAAATATCTATCTAAGATTACAATTCGTTTTTAATCAGATTCGAGTTTTCGTCGCGTTCTGATAGCTATTTAATTTACTTACTCGAACTAACAAAGTACAGTAGCGTGTCATCTTGTGCCAATGGCAGAGATCATTTGGTTTGGTACCAAAAACACTACTACGATCAATAATAACGATCAATAAGCACCATTTCGAAGCGTTAACGCTACATCATTGGAATTAATAAAAAATATTATACTTTAATAGAGACAGAGACGGAAAATAAAACAAAGATCTTGCGATCTCTAACAAATCACGTATCAAAGTTTGCATGTCATGCGATTGTTCGAATTAAAGCGACGATTTACCGCATTATTTTAATGTTCCTATTTAAATTTTTTGTTCTTTTCGTAATTCTCCTTCCACTCAGCGATTTTTGTCGCTGGTGTTTATTAATATAGTTGTATCCTTCCCAATCTCAAGATCGAAATAATCTCGATTCTCTTCCTTATCGTTGGTTCCTCTCGCATATTTACGAAAGTATGATCTTTGATGATATCCATCAGATCATGGTTTATGGCGGTCGTAGAATCGTGATGTGATCGATTATTGTCTGTCCTGGACTCTTGTCAGAGTAATTAACGAAGAGATCGCAGCTTGAGTTTCAGCACGAAGTAAACGGCCACTCTGAGAACGAGCAGGAAGCCGAGCAGGGCGACGACGTCCACCCAGTAGACCGCGTTCTCCATGGCCATCTGTTCAAGAAACTTCGTCGGACTCTTGAAGTGGCAGTAATACTCGGAACACTTGAGCTTCGCCCGATTGTAACCGTACACGGAGATCATGGCGCCTTCGAAGCCGTACCTCACGTAGCTCACGTACGAGAGGAACTTTAAATACTTTGGTACGGCGTTGAAGTTAACGAAGAAGCCGGAGAACAGGATAATCGGAACCGACATCACGGGTCCGATGAACACTCCACTCTGTGGATGATAATATTGATAAGGTTAAATAACAGGAAAGACCGAACGGGAAATCGATCGTGTGCATTTTTTAGAGTTGACAGTAGTAAGAAGGTGTTCTTAAGGATAGAGTGGTATACATTGTCGATTACCGACATTACCTCCACGCTCATTGCTGCTCCTATCAGCAGACCGATGGATTGCGCGACGAGCGATGTCAATATGCATATATTTAGATACATAAGAAAACGCTCCGCCTCCAACGGTTGCGACGTAATGAAGTATACGATCATTACGTAGGCTATAGAGTACATCATCTGCAATAATTTACCATCGCGTGAGCCGCCTCGATATGTCTAGCTCTAATTGGACAACGTAGACCGTAAATTATACTTACTTGAAACGGCAAGTCCGCCAACGTTCTCGCGAGGTAAAAAGCTTTCACTGAGTACCAATAGTTCAGGTGCTCTCTCACAAACACGGACATTTCCATCGGAACTAACAGTGTAAAACATATAGCGATATAATACAATGATCTTTGCAAATATATGTTTTGTTATATAATTTTATAAATCACTTACATGTTAATATCGTAGGCATCATGGCGGTGAACATAAGAAACATCACCGTAAAGAAGACACATCCGGCATTACTCATGACCTCTGAGGCCTCATTGCCGATGTCATAATAAATTGCGCCGATCAGGAAGCCGACAATTATATGTGAGATCAGTCTTACTTTTGTTAGTGTCTATGAAGGAGATATAGCAAAAATCAGATATCTTGAAGTTATTATTAATAGAAAATTTCTATTAAATAACATGTTATATTCTCTTTTACGATAAAAAATTGAACCAACTAGTTTAACGATATAATGCAGTTATTCGCGCAATTTTTCAGATTAATAATTTCTTACTTGATAAAGAAATGTCACTTTCCTTAGAAAAATAAGTAGAAAGAGATATTTCAAATTATATGTAAGTACGCTGTATTTACCAAGTCTCGTATCTGCGACATGAATGTCCTCTTGAGCAGTATCCAGAATTGCATCCAACCATTCGTCGGGAAGCCGACCTTCTGTTCTATGCTTTCCGCGCTGTCCAACAACGACGTCGTACAAGAAACTGGCATGTTAATCACTGTTGTACCAGCTGATGTCTTCGCGACTCCATTGGGTATCAGAGCGGTGCCTTCTGGTTTCGTCTGCTCCTGCGGCGACTCCTTGGCGATGTCATTCGACACCGTCTGCGCCGCAGCGATAGCACCTTGATGAAGCTGATAGTTATTGCACTTGCCGTTGTTCACAGCCATCACGAGTTTGTGAACACACTCGCCGTGCTCCCCGCAAGCAACTTCCATCACTGAACCAATAAGATTTCGTTAACGCATTGCGAAAGAAACTTTGATGATGAGAAACTACATTTTGCAAGATGTTTGAAATCTTATTTAAATTAAAATTGATCCTATCCTGAATCAGTTTATCGAGCGAAAGAGATCATGGTTAAAAATGATGTATACATATATATAAAAAAGAGACAATTGACATTTGGATCAATTAGAAAACTTCATCAAGTGTGTACTTGCCGTAATCCGCTGGATTATGATAACTCGGGCAGTCGAGACCCATCGATGACAAGAAGGGCACTAAGCCACCGACGTTACCCTGATATATACATTGACCTTCGGCAAGTAGGTACAGATGATCAAACATCTCGAACAGTCGTGCACTCGGTTGGTGGATCGTGCATATGATCGTCCTTCCTGCAAGAGACATCAGTACGGTAACAACTCCTTTTCTGTTTATAAACGCGTGAAGGCCGTGGAAAATTCCGTGGAAACTTTACCTCCTCTGCTTAGGGATTTGAGCAAGCTTAAACACTGGAAACAAGCAGAGCTGTCTAAACCAGAAGTAGGCTCGTCGAAGAACATAACCGGGGGATTGTTGACAAGCTCTAGCGCTATCGACAGCCTCTTCCTCTGACCGCCGCTGAGACTTTGGGTCTGCGTGTTGCTGGCTTCACGTAGGCCAAGTGTTTCGATTATCTCCTCGATCTGTCAATTCGATTACACAGAGTTTCAAGTACAAGACTTTCTGGACAAGATTTACATAAAAAAAGGATAAAAAGGTTTATCATACCACTACTTTCTTGGAAGTCGCGCTGATGTCCTTTCCCAACTTCAGATTTGCCGAAACGGTCATCGCCTCATAAACGGTCAGGTGTGGTAGAAGCCGATCATCCTGCATGATATAACAGGACATCTTTCGAAATGTTCTGAGATTTCTGTCCTTCCCATTTATCAGGACCGAGCCACTCAAATGTGATGTTCTAAAAGATATTGGAAAACGATTACAATTATCATTCAATCCTAATGCGCCGTTATAATTCACCGTCGAAATAATCTTACTTATAGCCTGCTAAAACATTCATAAGCGTGCTCTTTCCAGCGCCGGACGGTCCCATAATAGCCGTCAGCTCTCCAGATCTGAATTTTCCGTTCACGCATTTTAGAATGGTTTTGTATCCTGCAGTACAAAGCAGAGAGAAATGGAGGACGCACAAAAAATGTGTATTCCTTTGTATTCTAATACATTTTATATCCGCAGTGCGGATTATACTCCGCTGATGGAGATTCGTAAATCTTCTTAAAATAAAGACAGAAATTAAAATTTTCGAGATGTCACTGTATACGTAAGATGTATTAAATATGTATATAATGTTATCTGATTTTAAATAATGCGAAGTGATTAATGTGTCCAGCAAAAATATTAGATAAACAATACTTTATAATGAAAGTTTAAATGCCCCATTTCTGGCGTAGTCGATTGCCAAAATTTTCTACGGTCTTGCCAATGCTGTGACGTTTGCCAGTAAATTATTATATAGAGACGCATTCAATTGAATATCCTTTGAATAGACAAAACCCCTGGCTGACCTCTTTATCGTTAGTGCAGCTGCACCTCGGGCGATGTAACTGCGCCGAAACAGGCAGCTACTTGCCTGTGCATTTCTATCGATTTTTTTCGGTCAGGTCGTTCACACACGTTGTGATAGAACGAAAAACCTTACTTGATGGTACTCCGCATATTCGATTCGCCACTTCAACCCGCTCGCTCTAACGCCTTGAATTATCTACGGTTTCGTTCCAGCAAGCTGTTATTGAATCGATAGCGCGGAGGTGAAAATACATCGTGCCCCGATATGTTATTCCAAGGCATAAGCAGTTGATTTGATTAAAGTCGGAGGACTCGTTCATTCTACCTCAATTTCCTTTTTATTTCTCGTGATAACGATCGCGAGGCTTGATAATGACTCCGCCGCGCGCTGCTAGAACACGAATTGGACTTTCTCTCGGAATAGGCCGTGTAATTGCAATTGGCGTTCTTCTCTTCGAGCCTCACCTCTCTTTCTGCCCTCGGACACGCTGTAGGCCAGGTTCTTGAACTCCACGTCGACCGGTGGCCTCTTCGGGAGATGCGTCAGTGATACCGCCGGCCTCTTGCTCTGACTAGGACTGGCGCCGCTGTGGTTCGGCACCTTCCTGGCCAGAACACCACCGGTGCATACCGCAGCCGCAGCCCCGTTCGACGTGGCGCCGTTGCAACTGCAGTGGAGATTGTTCTGCGAGCCGCTGTAACAACAAAATATTTCCGGTTGTTAGCTTCGCCAGCTGTACTATTAATCGAATGTCTGCATTCATTCGATATAACGCATACATCTCTCTCTCTCTCGTGTAGTTCTACACGATATGATATATTTGAACCGATGGATGAATGAATGAATTTCTGTATCCGGTCAAAGCAGGTCTTAGTGTTTAAATATATCTGTGTAAATTTATATACATAATTCTGCAAATTGCACGTCGAAATTATTCATAGATTTAATATTCATCATTAACATTCGATTATCAATATCCTAGGCAGCATACAATATTTATAAAATATTTATAAATATTTATAACATTTATTTTAAATTTACTCATTGAAAGGGATCACATTTATGGTCGAAACGTTTGAGCAATTTACGTAATAAAAAATATAAAAAATATCAACATATATCAACCAGTTGGACTATAACAGCTCTGATTTTGTATTATTTGATTTATTTTGCAAATAATTTTTGTTGTGTTAAATTGCACAGATTACAAATCATTTATTATAAATATTATGAAATATTTATTGTAAGTGTAATAGTAAAAATAATATGATAATATTTAATGAGACATTACAATCCAACTAAAAAATACTTATTGAAAATATTTATTTATATTTATATTTATAAATATTACATAAAAGGTTTAATCTATGTTTTAATAATATTTCGAATAACACTTTATATATATAAATATGTGTATATAAGATATTTATATAACATTTCAAAAAATAAATAGTAATAAATATTATTATAAATATTCTGTGCTGTCTGGAATTACAAAGATGCTTGTTAGAATAAAAAAAATTGCTGTTTGTAAGATACTATTTTGGTTTTGCGAATAATTGCGTTTCAAGACCAAAAAATATTTCGGCGTGCAGCTTGCATAATCATATATCTATATTTTACACACAAATATTTAAGCATTATTAAGATTCGTTTTGACTGAATATATAAATTCTCTTATTTAAGTAGTTCTATAAACGCAGATATTGGCCGAAATATTTTACGTATTTTTGCGTGACATTTCCAGACACATTATACATCTGCTTCTCGTCTTCTACTTGAGAAGACACACTGAGAAAAATGTTGCTTTGTTTAAAAAAAATATTAGTTGATTTAACTAAATGCAGCAGACTTGTCAAGCAAATATTTGTTAATTCAAACAAATAACAATGTTGACATGATTTACATATATATTTAAATTAAATATGTAAATATAATACTTGAACTGAATAATTACTACGAACTAAACGCATTTAGTCAAGTTAACAACTATTTTTCTCAGTGTACACATTAATTAAATAATTACGTGTTATCGATCCTCCCCATGCACGTTTATGCGGCAGGGTTGCTAAAATACGCGTCGATTTATTCGAAACCGTAGAGATTTAAAGAATGTACATATTTTATAAAAGATATATATCCCAGATAGCTGAAAAATGGATTTGCTTTGTGCACATGATGTCAAAAAAGCAATTATTAAATATATATTAAAAGCGCATCCTCTACAATTTTATACAATTTACATTCATTTTGCGTACGCGATGTCATTAATTAATCCATGGCATTGAATAATGAGACCGATTGTCTTCGGGAACGTATAGTACGCTATTGAACGTTAGACAAATGCAATATTGTAGAGGACACTGAATATTTAATTCATGGCCACTTCCAGATTTAAAGAACAATGGTATACGAACGTATATATATGTTCGTTGTGTGTTATGCGTATGTGTGTGATATTACCTTCTATCTTATTAAATTTCTCTCTAATTTACTATAACTTACAAATGCATTAAGAGACAATTTGTTATCGCGTATATTCCGATACGCTTACAATACAATATCAAATTTAATTAACAGTATTATAATATCGTCGTATAATAGATGCTCGTAGAAAAAATTCAATGCTTCTCGTCGTTCTCATCGGAGTCGTTTCTTTTGTACTATTTACATCGTATTACCGTCACAGTGTATCATTACATCTTGCAGGTAATAACGAATTTGCGTGCGCTCTGCGTTGTAGACTTTCTGCAATTTTTGTCGCGGTTACGGCCGCGTGAAAGTTTATTATTTTCTAACGTTAAAGGAAGACAAAAATGTGCCCGAGATTTTTACTACTTTACCCGATCATGTTCGATCGAACGTGACACGCTGCTCTGTATCGAGGGAATTTAAATATTTCTATGACTACATCTAATCACCATTTACTATCGTGATTCACTATCGTAATTTGATTTCTTGAATAATTTTTTCTCGACTTCTTACTATTCATCGAGTCTATACGGTCAGTTTTATTGCGTATATCTATCTATCTCTCCCGTTCAGCAATCGTGCAATTGAAAAAAAAGAACTTACTTTGGGAAAAACTTGAACGCAATAAAAGTGGCAAGCTGGTAAGTATACACAGTTGGAAAAAATGTGTCGAATTTAACATAAATCGCATGTCGTAAACAGTCCACTCAAGTTTTTGGGTTAATTTAACACAAGATAAACATATTAGAAGGTTACATATGGTAAATATTATGTAAGAAAATAAATACAAAAAAGATAATATCGATATACAATAGTTAATAAACAAACCGCGGGAAGCATTTTTTTTTTCAGAAAATAAATATTTTTGATATGTTAATTAACATCTATTTTATTTATTTGTCTCAGAATTAACGTTTTAAAACACTATTTTTATGTTACTTGTCCATTTATTCATAAATTGTGTCATTTTGACACTAAGAAACGTTGAATATCAATTTCACAAAATCTTTAAATAACATAATCGCATTATGTTAAATTAACACTCGAATATATCAAAAAATTTAACACAAACTGTTAACACAAACGCGAGTGGACCGTTTCCAACACAAATACACAATTTTTTTAACTGTGTACAGATGTGATAAATAAATTCCGAGGAAATTGTAAGAGAACGTTGATATTTGCAAAAGAGACTCAACAATAACGTTAGTGAAGATAAACAACTTATTTATTCATTAGTTAGATAATCGGAATATATCGTAGATTTGGCGATCAAGTCAAATCAATAGAACTCTACGCATTTTACCATCGATGGATATTGCTCACTTTGAATAGCTTTCAACTAAGAGAAAAACTTTACGTAGAATCATGAATAAACGCATTTAAAACTCACCGACTTCGACATTGAACTTAAACGTCAACATGCATAAAAGAAATGAAAAGAATATAACACTTTTATCACCTTTTATCATGTAAATTATAGGTAATACAATAAATCTGAATAAAAAAAAACTACTTAATTCACTTTTAAATTATCTGGTTTAACATAACATGTGAGATATTAATAATATGTAACTTATTTTAATTTATTATTTTAAAATAATATTTTAAAAAATCGCAAAAGTACACGTCGATTTTGTGTTTAAGTATAGCAAAAAGTCTTTCAAGGCTCATATTTTTATATCTCTGAGTCGCAAATGAATAGTCTGTTAAATAGATAACGCGATAAAAATGCGAATATGTAACTCAGTATTTTTATATGAGCATAATATTAGCTAATAACAGAAATATTGCGTGCAGAACTCATTCGATTATATACGCTTTTCTGTAATTGTAACCCAGTCTTACAAAACCTTGTCCTCTACAAACTTTCCTATAAGTTCTACTCGTTGTCTATCGATTTTTCATATGTATGACATTAAAACGTAGTGGCGCTATAAAAATTTCAAGTACCGACTTTCTATTTTACTGTGCTTTATACGCGTGAAATGTCCATTCTGCAATATAATACTGAATTGAGTTCAACTATTAAAAAAAAAGCTTTGTATTCCATATATATATATATATATATATATAAATCATGTTTCTTATACAAAACAAAACAAAGAAAAAGGAAGCCAATAACGGTCAAAGCTTAATTAAGCATACTAGTGATCCAGCTTTGACCGTTATTGGCTTCCTTTTTCTTTGTTTATTACTGATAGTTTATTCTTCTAGTTTATGTTTATCAATTGTACGGTCCTAAAAAGATTCTAGTATTTGTTAAAACAAAGAAAATTACATAAAGATTTTATCTTTTTTTTAAAGATAATTTTCTCTTTGGAATACTGATTCGAGCTAGTTTGTTATCTTCGTCGAAATACGATGAAAGTGTACATACACGTTGGGATGCATCTTTTATTCGCTTGACTGACTCGCGGGAGTCATCGAGAGAAAGAGAGAGAGTCGCACAAAGGAAAGGCAATCTTTGTCCGATGCGTTACTGGCGTACTCGGCGATGAGTCAGAGAGTCGTAGAAGCCGACTGTGTATCTCGATACACAATTGAAATCAGTAAAACTCGAACTACATGCATGCTTATACGGGTGCGCGCATTCCTCGATCTCGGAGAATGCTCAAGTTCGGGTTTATCGAAACTCTCGCGAGGTCAAGAACCTTGACCGTGATTGTCTATACAGACACTGAAACAATTACCATCGATTGTCGTGCTAAGCAGTTCTTTGATAACCTGTCCATATAAAAATGTCTCGGAACTATCGCCGTTCTTTTTACTTATAAACTTTTATTTGATTCAAGGAGGATAGGTTTGTCATCGATAACCCCAAACTTTTCTTGAGATAATAATAAAGTTATCAGTAATCAGTTATGAATAATAATTTTCATTACTCATGCATGTAAAAATAAATAATTTATATCACAGTAGGTTTTCATCCAGACTGTCATTAGCAATAATAATGAATTTATTTGCATGACACGCAATTCAGGGATAAGTTATCTATAAGCATTATAAGTTACGTCATTTTATAATAGAACTCATTTTAGCACACAAATTGAACGTTATTTTTAGCGACAATAGATTAAATTGAATCAAAAACCCAGTAAGGACAAGCCTTGAGAAAAGTACGATCGAAACTGGAGCCTTGAGATCCCTTTTAGACTTTAGTATTTAAAGGGAAGGTTCGCGTGTAGTCCGAGGGTTGTATTCTTCCCCTTCCCATTCATAGTCTTCATGACGCACGGTCAAATTCTGGTTTATGACATCTGAATGAATCTACGATAACTTGCTCTCGAGATTACGATACAAAGTTAATTTAAGATGATGAACTAACAAGGCTATTGAATCATCTATGAGTTATGATTTATTGGATCTTATAACAATTTAGCGTTGAAAATAAAAATTAATTTATAAGCAACAAAAAATCACACACTCAAGCTTATTAACACTATTATTTTTTTTCACATATGACAGATTTAATATAATTAATCGTGCTTTCCGAAAATAATAATAAACTTAGTGTTATGTAATAATTTGTACTGATTATAAAATTGCTCGTATGATTAATTAAACATTGTAAGTGTTTTAGTAATCGGATGGATGATCGATATTTTTATATATATGTATATCAAGCATATATAATATTTTTTTAAAGAGATCGTGACATAACGTCGTGTTAGTGTAAATCAATATTCTAGGTACTGTTATAAAATGCTAAACGGTAGATCACAAGCGGTTTTACGATCCGAGGACGAACAAAGAAGCTAGATTCCCTTTTCTTACGACCAGAAATGAAGGTTGCTTGATAGAGTTCGAGGTAATCTGGAGACTTTCCTTCTAAGTGCTATTATACTGCGTAGAAGAACAATGTAAAAATTCTTATTGCAATACGTTAATTTTTCTTTAGTTTTATCATTATCAATTATGATATCGCTTCGTTATTTCAAAAGTGATATTATTCAAAACTGGTGATTTTTGAATTATTATACCATTAAAATAGTGTTTTATCGAGACTCTTGAAAATCGAGACTCTCGTGAGACGAGACAAGGGGAGACCGAGATCGAGACAAAGGTTTCGAGAGCTTGGTCTCAGTCCGAGAATCTCGTCTCGTCTCGTTTTTCTGTTTTTTGGTCATACTTCTCATGTGTCAATATGTAAACATTTACATAAGAAAATATTATTAATAATCTATTTATAAATAGAGATAAACAGTGTGTATAGTACATATAGTAGTTTTTTGGGACTTAGATTAAAAAAATGATCGATGGTTGGACATTAAAATGAAAATGCTGTGTGACACACACGTGTTTACAATTAAATAAAGTATATTCTTATAATATAAGATATTTTTTATTATTCGGTATAATTCAGCGTCATCAAAAGGCCTCGTTAAATCAGAGATTACCCAGGAATTAAGATATAATAACAGACGAGCAGATTCATTATTAAGTCGATTTCGGTGTTTCTTTATAATAAAGGCCCGTCTTAGAAAATAGTCGCTCTGTTTGAACTGACGTTGCAGGGATACTGAGAAAATCGCGCGCCATCTTGACTAAGTTAGGGTATGTTGCCTGGTTATTTTTCCACCAATCTGCCTGTCACATCGGAATAAAAATGCAGCGAGGAATTACGCGAGAAGCAGCGAAAGACAATAACCAATGTAGCAAATAACGACTAATAACGAGATTTATTCTTCTTTGTCTTTCTCTTTCTCAACAATTTTAAGAAAAATTATCTATAATCACAAGCTAGATAAATTATAAATTATTTATTATATCATAGTAATACAGTCTACTATTTTATTTTTATCAATTATTATCTTCGTTTTCGTTAATCACATTTTTTGTTACACCAATACTTAAAATTATATGAGTAAGCTTATACTTAAGCATGATATAATATTAGTATGTCAAATTTTATCGCTTACGTAACGGAAGACTTTTACGTAATCAGATGTGACACATTCCTCATTCCTTTTTCGGTGCTTTTGCTTTTATTCTATATTTTCACACAAAAAATTTGATGTCTTTTAAGCTGTACATTATTCACATTTAAAATCAATTTAATCTACGCTTCTGACTAAAGTTTAGTCCTTTATTTCAATAATGCCTAGTTTACTGACAATAGAATAATAGATTGTTCAGAAAGTTATGCAGTATTTCGTTAGTCAAAATTAGTTAAAATTATATACAGAATATATTCGTTACGAAATTTTCAACTGACGTGAAAGTTTTTCTTAAAAATTTGTTTTTAAAAAATATTCCTACAACTTTTTTTGTTACTGAGTTACGCGGCAATAAAAAAACATTCTAACTTTCATTTATTGCTTACAACTCCGTTAAAAATCGTCGTACCGTAAATCACTCCGTTAAATATCTCCGTAAAAAAATGAGATTCGTAAAGAGCTGAAATTTTACTATTGAATGGTATAATTGCTAATTTTTTAAATGTAAAATTTACATAAATTTGAGCTGAAAATGTGACATATATGTTATTGTTTTTATAATTATTACACAATAATAAGGAAAGTTATACTTTTAGCTCAAATATACGTAATTATATATTTTTTTATAATTGTGATACACAATAATTCTTAATAGAGAGCATGAGTATAGCATGGTGGACAGCACCATGTCTACCATGCTAAGGAATTCTGGTTCGATCTCCGGCAGATCCAAGAAATTTTTCACGCGCTCGTAACTCCTCTTTGACGGTTAAACCACCAAAAGTACTTATTGCCAAGAAAACCTTTCAAAACTTCGAAACCGACATTAAATTGTAAGTCCCGTATGTTTGTTGTACACTCTGCGTGTGTATCACGAACGTACGTACAAGAGGTAGGTCCAGTCCTAAATTTGAAATGTTGCGCCATCAGAAAAAAGTTTATAATGGAGCTATGAGTACATAATAAACTCAGATTGCTCTTTTAATTTTTTGATTCGCGAATAACTTAATAACAAAAAATCGTAAAAACATTTAAAAAATTATTTTATAGAAAAAATTCCATTTTACGATAGATAGTTCGAAATTTTTGCAATTTTTTGGCATGTGACAGATTCACAAAGTGAGAGAAAAAACTCGTAGTTTGTTATATATAAAAAAATATCAAATTCACATAAAACTCAAAAATTATAGTAATTTTTTGAAAGTACAGATTTCGAGTTTTACATTTTTTAAAAGCCTTTTAAATTAAAATTTTTTTCATCTTTGACGAAAATAATATATATACAATTTTGAGCTAAAAAAGTATCGCAGAAGTTTCTGAGTAATCTAATATTATGGCTATGTACTTTTTTTCGTTTAATATATTATTAGAATATATTATACGTGATGTCATACTTATTTGTAACATATACATTTCTCCATTATTTAAAGATATATAGACTATAATATATATATAAATATTTTTAATTGATATTTATGTAGTATCATATTAAACATTTTTAAGGGGGTAGTTGGGTATGAAATTTTCAAAAAAATCAATTTTCCAAATACATCATTTTCGTGCACCAAATACATGTAGAAATATGGTAGTGAACGTAAATTTCGTGGAACCGATCGAAAAAAGGTCGAAAATAGCAACACAATGCGAGGTGTCCTCCGAGCGCTCGGCGTATACCTGCGGCGCGGTCGAACAGCTGGCGCTCTCTTCCCCTCCTGACGTTTATGAATATTTGGTTTCTTAGCATTTCAGTTTCAGTTGTATGGCAGTTTACCTTTGTAACGGTTGCATCATGTATGGAGCAGGAATTGCCGACTGATGGTCGAATTTTGCAATTTTTACCCACTTTCTCGCAACAAAAACTTTAAATGCGTTTTTCTCGAAACCACTTTTTTTGACATGGGGGACAAGATTGTGAAAAAACTACTGAACGGATTGGGCTGAAATTTTAAGGGGTTGTTCTAGACATGTCTACCTATGGTATATACTACGGATAGAAATATTCATTGACATTTAATATATTTTTTTAAACAATTTAAAGTGAAAAAATAAGGTGAAAAATTCAAAAGTCCGCCATTTTTTTTTTTTACTACCGGGGTGAAAGTTTTTAGTATATACCATAGCCACGCACCTACTCTTTCAGAAAATACCCGGACTTTTGTTTCAAGACGACCAGAAGCTGCGGAAAAGTGTCCCCCGTGCAAAAGACAGGTCTACTTCGGGCAGTCAGGACACCACCAGGGTTGCCAAGAAAAAAAAAAAAAAATATCTCATATATCTTTTATTAAGTCTCCTTCAAATGGTATTCGTAACTTTTCGAAAAATAAATTTTTTGTGTGTTAAATAAAATCTTTAAAAAATGGTCGTTCATACCCAACTACCCCCTTAATGAAACAATCTCGAAAATTTATCATTGCATTATGCAAATTATTAAAATTAATAATCACTGATCATTCTACTGTTATTAATTTTTAAAACTCGATTACCGTTAATGTTTATTAGTCCAACCAATTTGTTCGTTTTATTTTGAAATTGAATATCGTACACTGAGAAAAAATGCTATTGATTCAATTAAAATCTACATTATGGGCTGTCACTAACATAAGTAATTAATTCATGTATATTTTTATTGATACAAAGGCTTTGATTATTGTTTTAATAATCAAGGTCTTTATGTCAATACAAATATATATGAATTAATTACTTGTATTAGTGACAGCCCGTGATGTAGATTTTAATTAAATCAGCAGCATTTTTTTCTCAGTGTATAAAGTTAAAAATTATACTTATACTTATACATGTAATTATTACAACATAAATTATTCTTACCCGTGGACTGCATTGTTGAGACTTTCCAAATGTAAGGAAAGAGGAGGTGATCTGATCGTCACCTGATGACTCCCACCTGGGATAAACTGCACCTGCTCATCGCCGCTGTACCTGGATGCTCCACCACCGCTCAGGGTGAGATTCTTCAGGTCGGCCATCATCCAGTCGTGCTGTAAGAGATACATGTTTGAATATTTTTATCGCATAAATAACAAACTCATTTCTACATTTAATTTTTATCTCGAAGAATGATATTCGAAAGTCCGTTTACGAACAACTAAATTACGAAAAATACAGCCTATTAAGAATACTTGAATAGCGTTTAATACTCGGAATTTCATTATAGAATTATATCTTGCGCACTTCAACTAATGACTCAGAACCATCGGGGTATTTTGCGGTCCAAGAATCGTGTCGCGTCTCCATCAGGAACGACGTTTTCCGTTAGTTTTATTGTCATACGTCATACGGTTAGCTGAACATGCCGTGACGCACGATATCGTTATACTGTTCTGTATTTCAGTACTGTATTATCGAAATTTTTTTAAGGTAGACGAGAAACGAAAGGCTTTAATAATTTAAAATTAGTCGATTGAGAATAGCCTCTAGGAAGCTCATGATCGATTCGTCATATTATAGACGCTGTATATAGAAGGTTGGAGATATCAAATGGACATTTCCTTTTTCAAATCGACAATTTGTTCACTTGGTGTCGAGTGAATTGTTAAATGCGTGACTTCGTTAATTCTTCATTTAGAAAGGAACAAAAATACAGGTACAAAATAATTTAATTTAAGAGATATCAAATATATATTGTAAATTTAACAATCAAGTAATAAAAGGGCAAAGAGCCGACAATATAACAGACATAAACATTTAATTTAAAAATAATGTAGCTACAAATTGAACATAAACAAACGTTTCGACTTCGATCGAATCATTTTCAATGTTAACAAATTAAATGTAATAATAATTAATACAAATGTAATAAGTTAAAACAAAAATAATACAAAAATCGTTATTTTAAAATAGCTGTGTATCAAATCTTGTTCTTCGTGCTTAGTCAATAGATTAAAATTCGAATGTCAGATTGTATAAAGTATGGTATTCTAAAAAATTATTCATGAATTTAAAACAAAGTAAAAGTTAATATTGTATATAAAAATATAGTATACCTTGTGTCAACAAAATCAGTAAGAACTCCAAAAAACAGTAAAATTATTAAGCGCAGTTTAAGTGTCAAGTACAATTTTTAAAAAAGATCGAGAGTTTGCAGATTTATTAGACCAGTCTTCATCAAGTCAGATAACGTAATGTCAAGAAGGAAAACATTCAGTATAAGCAAAGAATGTGTGAAAGAAGGAAAGGATAAATATTAGGAAGGAGAAAGAGAATGTATCATGTTTGAATACATTTCTGGCAATGAATCCGTTTGTTCGTGTTCAATTTGTAGCTACATTATTTTTGAATGTTTATGTCTGTTATATTATCGGCTCTTTGCCCTTTTATACTTGATTGTTTTATATTTATAGAGCCTTATATTAACTATTATAATTGTAAATTTAAGTTTATAATATAGAAATTACTTAAAAAAATAAAGAATATGTGTGATTATAGTTTACATTATTCTAGCTTAAGCTATATTCGAATAACAATTTATATTTACAAATTGTTTAAGAGCGAGTCGATTGCGAGTGAAGAACATATTTGTATAAAATAAAGTTAATTAATGTATTCAAAAAATTGTAATAAATATATTTATTTAAATAGTAACTAAACGTTTACTTACAGTAAATAAATATTTACTCAATAAAAAATGATTAGTTAAATGAAATTAATGGTTTTTGTAAACTAAATAAATATATTTTTATATTTAGTAAATATTTAATTAGTACTATTCAAACAAATATTTATCAAAATTTAATACATTTTTTATGTTTTAAATTGATTATGTCACTTCAGTCATATTAATTATTTACAATATTTACAAAAAGAAAGACTGTTTCCGTTTATTTCAAGTATGTTAATTCGAAAGAAACTGAAATTTATTTCAGAGCAAATACTCGATGGATTTTCTAATCATTGAACTTAGACTTGCAATTCGAGCACGTATGATTACTAAACCTCTTTACATCGAACTGATTAGGCAATTACGAGCTCGTAATCCTGGAAATTTTTCAAATAAAATTAAAGAAATGACCAACAGATAATTCTATAAAAATTATAACATACGAAATACATAAGCATAGAGGGAACATGAGCCAATGAGCATGTTATCCAAATCAAAATGTGTGATTTTATGTTAGATGATCATTGATATACAACCTTATACTATGCTATGCTATATTTATGTATTTTACTATATCTTTTATTGTTCTTAAAGGGATTCTAAATCGATTTAGAAATCTAAGCCGTTTGTATTACCGACTAAACTATATAATAATAACAATTACTTATTTTCTTTTTCACAGATACGAAAATCCTTTCCCAGGATTTTAAAGTATACGCATTAATACGCATTTGTGAGGTGGAATTTATACTGAAAACGTCAAAATTAAGATCTTTACTATTTCTTAGTCCAATATGGAGCTTTATAGCTGTCACATCGTAATAACATTTGTTTCAAAAGCTGTGCAATCTGTACTTATGAAATAGTAGTCCACGGTCTAGTAGTTCGCACAAAGAAACAACGTGGAATTCTCAGAATTAGATTGACGTCTAATGAAAATGTTGTTATATGAAAATTTATGCATATGTATGCGTGAAATATTGATGTAGTAGTATGTAGCGATATGCCAGTGATACATAAATCGTCTGTGTGTAGGCTTTCTACAATAAACTATTATGTAAGCTTTAAGTCTTAAGCCATAAGAAATTGATCAATCACAGTCAAATGTGAGAAGAATAATCGACTATGATTGGCCAATTTCTTATGACTTAAGGTTTAAAAATTAGGTAATGGTTTAATGTAAAAAGCCAATTTACACAATATAAGTCCAATTTACACCTATAATTAATCATTTTTAGGACCTCCTTAAAATTCGGCAATGTAACGTTTTTTATTTGCCGTTCTGCCAATTGTCGTAAGATATTTATTATATTATGCGTGCAAAAGAATATGATATCTATGTACAATTTGTTGATTTAATTTCACTTAATTATCAAGTAAATAAGTCAACGTTATTTGTTGTCATTTTAACGTGAAAATAAATATAAACGACGTCTTTAATACCATTTTGATGTCACAGTAACATCAAATGATGTTAGTTTATTTGCTGAGTAGATTTTAATTTTTAATTACATTAGAATTAACGATTCTCTAATTATAGCGAAACACGCAAATCAAGGCGTGGTTTGAACACAAATCTAATATAAAATATGGTTCAATGATTTTTATACGTGCTACTATATAATTAACATATAATTAAAGTAGAATGTTATCCAGACAATGTGTATGTTTAAAAGGCGCCATAAATACATCATAAAAACGGCCTTTGAAGAAATTCATGTCTAAAAAAAATATCTAAAAAACATCATTTATAAACAATGCGTGTATTCTGGATATATTTCGCTGTATCATACTATCCGCTCTGTAAACATGCGCCTATCTGTCATACATATACGTTAAACTTTTTTGCAAGTGCTAATTCCGAGAGTACAAACGTACGTAAAGAAATTGAAATCGTGCTCATCCATTGCATTTCTGCTATTATTACTATAAGCGAAAAAATCTTATTATATTGTTATCATAGTGTTATCGGTAGGTATCTTAATACAACCGTTTACGACCAAAATTATCGGTAGGTATCTTAATACAACCGTTTACGAACAAAATTATCGGTAGTTATTATTCAATATTCTTTACACAACCTACAATTGTGTGACAAATGTCATGCTAACCTACAGGGAAATATGCAGCTTGTATATATGCATGACTTCTCCTGGTACCGAATAAACGTGAACTGAGTAAACTTCGGATAATCATCTTTCGGCTAAAGAAAAGAATATTACGTTTTAACAAACTTTTATTTGGTTTATTCTCATCGGTGTTTGAATATTACATTTTGTTAAAAAATAATCCATTTTTTCCATTATCTGTAATATGTTTAAAATGTACCCAGCAAACCAGGAATATAACTACTACGTAAATGTAAATGATTAACTTTTAAAATAAATTTTATTTTACAGAGTAAAATCTAACTTTTAAAGGGATCCTAAAATCGTTTGTGTTTACTGATTATTTTTTCAATAAGTATTTTTTCTAACTGTTTTTACATACAGATTAAAAAATTTTTCTTCACAATTAAAGTACGTATATAAGCAATGTAGTCAAAACCGATTGACTTTATGTCAAAAATGGAAACAATTAAAAAATTACAGTTTATCAGTTTCTGACGTCGATTCGTAACAATATTTGCTTTATATACAAGTTTTACACTTTGTATGTATAAAACAGTCTTAATTTGGACTAGGGACTACATGAATAAAAAAAATGTGTTCTTAGAATTAGGCTTTTAGATACCTGATGTAAAAGATTAGTTAGATTTATACGTATGTGTATGTATGGTATTTGTGTGTACGCGTGCGATATAGTAGTGTGTAGTGATAAGTCAATGATATGTAAATATGTGTAGAAATTCTATTGAATTGATAACAAACGGCTGTAGAGTCCCGATAAAGTTGAAAATTGAGCCTCTCTTTTTCAGAACTGATTTAATATTTATTTTTTAGGACGAAATTCCATTTTTTAAAATTTATAGAGAGTATACACAATGTGGTAAATCCGCATTCATACGACCAACATGCTTTATTCAATTAATTATGCACTATAGATGTAGAACGAAGAAATCCAGCGACACACAAAAAAGTATAATCGGTACTTGCGTCATTATGTTTTGTAAACATAGAGTTTCCTAATAGAGCTTGCGTTCTTTTTAGGAAATTGGCAAATGCAATCTTATTATCTTACTTGCTATATATAATTGCTACTGAGACGCTCTTTTTCTTGGAAAAAAGATAACTTTCACATTGCGAACTTGAGTTCTGTTTTTCTTGATAAAAATAGATTTTATTTGTATTTTATATAGAGATAGATAGAGTATTATTGTCGATTAAAAAAGAAACAAAAAAAGATAACCAGCTTATTCGTAACATAAAATAATATACAAATAATAAATAAAAAAAATTACTTATAACAAAATTTTTATTAATTAGTTACAAAAATTTTAGAAAAGAGAGAGATAGAAGAGTGAGAAGACAGCAATTTCAGTTTCAAGCATCTTCGAGCATCGACAGTTCTAAAGAGGATTAACTCGGCACTGTTCGTACATTATGTTATACCTAATTCAAAGCATATCTTTCGCTTATGTACACAGTATCCTGCTGATGCTACTTTCGCGCGTCAGAATCTTGAAAATCGAAGATCAGTTCGTAGTTGTTCCGGCCGTTGGAAACTATCGTTGCAGCTTTCTCTCTGTCTCTCTCTCTCTCTCTCTCTCTCTCTCTCTGTTTTTGCAGGGCATGCACGTGTCAGGAATTACGCCGGTCGCATGTTTGTGATACACGATGCGCTCAATTGCATATTGCATATGACGGCAACGGGGTATCTACCTACCGCCGTTTCCGCCGTTGCCACTAGTGTGCCTGATAAATACACATAATATTCGAATAAATGAATAAAAATAAATGTAAATATCTAATCGAATATACTTCTTTTTTATTCATCAAGAAGCCAATAAATACTTTTTCATTCCATTTGATTGAATATTTTTTAAATATGATTACGAATATTTTTGTTTTCGTATATTCACTTCTACTCTGTACTGTTTGTACACAGCTTGCAAGCCTGTGTAAGAGAAAACAGAAATCTATAAAAACAATGAAAGCGGCAAAGTGATCGTCCATTAGTGATGCCAGCTAGCAGATTAATGACATATGACACAGTATATAGCTGAATAAATTGAAGATAAAAGTAATACATTATCTCAGATAAAAACTATATGTTATCTCAAACCTTCATTTCAGACTTATGTAAAATTATATGTCATATCAATTAGGTACTTATAAATAGAAAATTGTATTGCTTTCAAAAATATTTTTTTTTAATTTCTAAGTTTGTTTCTCTCATCAAATTTGAATATTACAACGACAAAAATAAATAAAATTCATTTATTTTTACTTAAAATCATCAAAGTTTCAGTTATAGTTAAGGGATAATAATTACTTATCGGAACTTTCTTTATCAGTTTATATTTTGCTTTAATATTTGGAATAAATATGAATACTCGTTAAATAATCATAGTTTTTTGTAAATAAATATATTTGAAAACTCAAAATTTTGAATAAATATATGATTACATTTTTTAAACGTGAACATTTTGAATAATAAATATACAATTTGTAGCCCAGTTTCAAATTTTTGTATTCATCGGGTACTCTAGTTGCCACATTCGCCTGTGTCAGCAACCTGCAGCTAGGCGTCGATCGAGATGACATCGCTCGGTTTTATTATTCCGGAACGACGTTCCAGAATCGGCTGGTCGCCAAGCGACCTTCTTTGTTTGAACAACTAAACGTCCCGATCAGCCTCAGAAGCAATAGCGGCTCACTCGTTCCAAGCTCTCGTTAATTAAGTGCTCTGTTCACAACAGAATCAATTCTGCAAGTCTGATAAGGTTCCTCGGAACCGCTATGGAGTGTACAGAAAGGGATTCCTGTTTAGCTCTGAATGCAATAACGCTAAGATAAAGTTCAGTTTTTGAACTTACTTTATGTAAAACTCGTTTGCCATATGTCAGTCACAGTGACAATGAGTGACAATTGTACTAATAAGTTTATTCTGACAGTGCCAGTGCTGCAAATTGAAAGAATTTTAATTTACATGTGTTAAAAAAGTGTAATTGTCCTATCGATTTATACAATTAAAATGAAACTGTAAAATAATTTCTGTTTTATTCATGTAATTAATTGATTATAATTATTCATTTAGCAGCACAAACACACGCACACATATGTATCCAATTAATGTATAGATAAATAAAACTGAGTGTAATCCAAATTTTTCGTATTATATTATAATACGAAAGAAACTTTGATCGATATATATTTCTAAATATTAAGTAAAAATCAAAATCGACAAATATGATCGGTGCACAGTTTGCATGGATTGCAAATTATAAACCTAAATTCACAAGAAATGTCATTAGACAAAGAACCGCCTTGACCGAATATGGCATTTTTTACTCATTGCATATATTTCTAAAATTGTATGTACATAGAAGGATTTTATAAATATTTAAAAATTTAGCTGCTTATAAATCTGAAAATAATTTGGTTGAATCTAAAGTATATATTAAATCTGAAAATAACCTAATTTAACTCAAAAAATACACACGATAATTTAACCAAATTATTTTCAGATTTATTACAATAGATCAAATGTTTAGAAACGATATTTTATTAGGTCAAAATTATATACAGAATATATTCGTTGCGAAATTTTCGATTGTCTAACGTAAAAGTTTAAAGTTTCCCCTACAAAACTTTGTTTTTTGAATATGTTTCTGCGATTTCTTGTTACCGACTTATATACACGCGGATTAAATAAAAGAATATTTCGATTGATCATAACTCCATTAAAAATCATCATCATTAAATAATTGCTAATTTTTTAAGTATAATATAAAATTTATATAAATTTCAGCTAAAAATGTGACATATTATCCTTATAATCATTGCTCAATGATTAGAAGGAAAGTATCATCGTATCTTTAGCTCAAATGTATATATTCTATTTTATATTCCAATATATATTCTATTTTTTAAGAAATTGATAATTATACCTACTACTGAAAACAGCAACGTTTTAGTTTTAAGAATCTGTTTTTTCAAGTGCAGTACAATTTAGCGGAATTATGAGCAATCAAAATCAGAATGCTCCTTTTTACTTAATTCGCGAATAATTCAAAAACAGAAAAAGGAGTCGTAGGAACATTAAAAAAAAAAAAAAACGATTTTGTAGGGAAAACTTCAAGTTTTTACGATAGATAGTCGAAAAATTTCGTATAAATTTCTTTTCAGTACTTGACAGATCCACAAAGAGAAGAAAAATATTCCTTTTTTTCACAATTCGTAGTTTTCTATATGTAAAAATGACCAAATTCACATATAAATTCAAAAATTATAGTAACCTTTTGAAAGTAGAAATTTCAACCTTTCAAACTTTTTTAAATTTAAATTTTACTCATTTTTAACGAATATGTCGTATGTACAATTTTTGAGTTAATAAAATGTGGAACTTTCTGTGAACAATCTAATATATCCAACTAAATTTTTAAAAATTCCTGCAAAATCGTTCTTTCATCGTATAGTTCTTTGATCCTATTAACCGTGTAATCATACTTTATTGAACTGTCTCTTGATTCTTTTTTTAAATAATAGAAAACGCGTACAAAATTCTGCGAAAAAGTACAATAGATGTGTGAATATTGTCCAGTTATAGATAACAATCCTTCGAATGGAAGTACAATCGATCGCATCGATATACGCAAATTCTCGTTAAATGCGATGTCGTGTTCATACGCGACACGTGCTCGATGCAATTCGCTTATCACAATACGTTTGTCCTATTGATGTTTGGTCTCGAGTCATTTATTAAGCGACCCGCATGACGATCTTGATTTCAGTTCTTGAAATGTTCCAACTTATTACCGGATAGAGCAATCTCTTGCTCCGCTCTAAGTGACACGATAATATAATGTTGAAAACTTTTCATTCTAACAAACTGTCAGAATAAATCTTTTAAAATTTATAAAAATCATGTAGCGAAAATGCAACCGTACGATAAACGTAGCTATAAGTGCCGTAAAGTATTCGTCTGGAAATTCGCTGCAAATAATACACGTATCGCATAGATAAGAAGTGAAGTGGTTGCGTTATCAAATAACATTGTCTCGACGTACTCATCTCGAAAATAATTGATAAATCGTATAAGAGCTTTAGATTCTCCTCCGGTTTTACCAAATCGTTAAATGAAAGATAGAGATCGTAGAACAAAGGTCGACATTTCCAAACGGTAGAAGATATCTATCTGTCGATAAAGGCTGGAAAGTAACATGTCGATGACCGGGTGCGTAATAATTAACATCGTTATTAGCGCGGAGTTCAATTTTACATGATAATATGTATATTTGTATCACTTCGCGTAGCTCTAATTAATTAATTGAAGCATTAGTAGATAATGAAAGCGGAAAAGCCGCAAAACTGAAAAATAAATTAATTTCTCCCTGTATATCCCGTAATTGATTACCACCTAGCGAATGCGGGGCAGATCCCGCGGTGTTCATGACGTACAGCTGCAAGGGTGGTATAGTTACACGTCCGTCCCACGCTTACATTAATCGACGCCAACACTGTTAACAGGACAACTCACCCTCAGACAAAGTAGGTTCAGCTACCGCCGCGACGTCATACTACGGCGACGACACTTCGCATCTTGCCGAGAACACCTCGTCCTGTTGGGCGGGTTGCGAAGCGGAAGTGTTAGTCAGGAACGAAGGGAGGACCACACGGATATCACCACTCTGGTCCTCGCACTTGGTCAACGGTACGCCACGGTACCAAGATTCCACCTCGAATATCGACTCTCTCGAGTTGTCTGATTACTGACGCACCGTCACCGCTGCATCCTTTACACTGCATTCGTTACGGGGCACTCTCGCTCTGGATACCGTTGAGAAGCAATCGATCGCGAATGCGTTGCATGCACGCAGCTAATCCTCCGGTGACTAATCAGACAGGATTGGAGCAAACGCACCGAACGGATCCACGACGCGCACTGCAACTCGATGGAAGTGGACGCAGTGAGAGAGAGAGCCGATCTCTCCCGCGACCTCACCACTGCGATCAGCTGTCGAGCTGTGCTCGACACCACTTCCACCTACGACGAAGTGAGCCGAGCTCGAGAGCGGCAGGGACGGCCTGAGTGACGGTACCCTGTCTTAACTTTCCTCCTTCTTTGTCGTCGGCTGTTAGGCCACGCGAACGAGAAAACTCATTCATTCAATCGTTCCTAATGTCATGTGTTTAGACATTTTTCTCTCTTACTCTTAAAAATTTATTTAGTAGATACGTAATAAAAAAAAAGTCTCGAAAGAGTGGGGTGCAAATAAAAAAAATCACAAGTCACATGAAGCATGAATTAAAATATTGAATTATTATGTTTAATTGAACGATCTAACATATCTTTTCTCCCGCAATCAAACTTATAAAGAAGCATTTTCTGATTCATACCTCTCAGCATATGCAATGAAGTTTGCCGATGTTCCACACAGATTTGTCATCATGTTTCATACAAACAAATTTTTAAGTTTTCTTTGTCACACCTTTCAGGTTTTTTAGTTGATCGAGAGAATATTTATTTCGCTTTAATAGATTGTGTGTCTTACTTATCGCTACCACGTGTTAAAGTCAAGGATAGGTTTTGTCCTGGCTGTTGTTAAAATATTCTTGATAAATATTGAACTTTAGTACGGTGAAACTTTATCGCTAACAATCAATTAATTCTAGCGGTTATCATAATGTAGCCGCTAACTTGACTACGTGTGTTGAAGTAATTAAATTTACTGTTTCCATTTTTAAAGATCTTCATTGCTTGTTTAATCAAGGACTCAATCATATCAGCTTCAGATATTAAACGCTAGTTTTGATTAATCATGTGCACAATGTTGCTCTTCTACGAATTTCTTTCTATAAGAGAAAACGTGCCTGAATAAAATTTCTATAGTACGTTTCCTAATAACTAGGATGACTCAAAATAATGACACACGCAAGTTTAAGCAGATTGTCTCTTGCTCACGTATACATAACTATCCTCTGCGTAAGAAAAGCGATAGTCGTCCTAATTATTGAAAACATGACCAATCAAAAATTAATATCGTCAAATACAAAATCTTATTTAAGTTCGAGTGTGACAAAAAGAAGAGATTACGATGCCCGATCGCTGGATTTATTAAAATAAAAGGAATTAAGATAAGCGGAGAAAGCGAGTAATAGCTGTACGATGATTTGTCATGTCGCATAAGGAATGAGTCTTCTTGTTCGTAATTGGACGGGGTGCCTCTTTCTCGTTGTACGTCGTTGATCATCGCGCATGTACAACAAAGCGAGGTCGTACCATACTGGCGGTATTCCCGTGCACGTTTACGCGAGTATCGACCTTACAGTTAGCACGACGGAGTACTCCAAGAAAGTACGACGAAGAGCGCAGGCGGATCGAGTGAAACGATGATAGAACATGGGAGAGGGAACTGCAATTCTTCGTGCGAGCGAAGAGGAAAGGAAGGAACGAAGGAGAAAGGAAAACGACCACATGCCGTAGGTCGATACTCTAGCACTGAATCCGCTGTTGGTATTTATTAAGTACAGTTGCACTGGCGTGAATACGTCCACACCGAGGACGAAATTGTTTGCTTGGCATTCACAAGTGAGATAAAGGAATACAACCCGTTCGTAAGAGAGAGAGAGAGAGAGAGAGAGATGTAGAGGCTGAGTGCTAAAGTTCATTCGACGGACACTTGCACTTGTGAATGAAGATCAAAGTTTGGATTCAGACTCTGACGCAAGTGTCATCTTGCCACGTCGTGATTCATTACGTTGTTTATTACATTAGAATAGATAACGTTCCTTTATTAATAATTAGAGTTCCATTGTTTGCGTATATTCAGTTTGGCGAACATTTCAAAAGCATCATGAGCAACTAAACAATGATCTCCGCAAGGAAATGCAGAATATGTAATCTGACAGGATGTGTAATAGGATTTATCGGATTTCCCATATTTCCATTCATTTTATTCCGGACGCTTGAATCAATTTGCAGGGATCGTTTTCTCTTTATATTATAGTTCGTCGCTGTTCGGGTAACTTTGTCAAGAAAAATTCGCTAGGTCTAATAAGTCTATTCAAGCGCAGACCAAAGAACTATATAGAAAATGCAGAAAACGCTTGGGATTTTATGGTGATTTCTTCTCCTCACGAAACATGAAACATAGTTAGGAATTAACGCCAGCGGCGAAAACCGCTAATGATATTTCCAGGAAGTAAGAAGTGGATTGTTCTGGTAGAAGAAAAATATAAGACCTGCCGGAGCAGTATACGGCTTATTCGTTCAGCTCGCGTAATCTCGGAATTTTATTGTCCGATACTGTAAGTGGACATTCGAACTTCGGATTGTATCGAACTGATGTTATTAATTGATGTAGATTAATCTTTGGATACACGATTTTCATATCGTTCTCCATTACGAATTAAGCAAAACATTCGTGTATTTTAGATTTCTAGCGATCTTTGCACCTGTTGTTAAGAATAACGTTCTGCCTCGATCATGTAGCCTTGAGTTTACCGTCAATTACTGTCGTCGACGAATGAAAGACAGTGAAGCACGTGCTTTTCAAATTAACGTTTCTCAAATTTGATGACAAATCTGCATTAACGAACTTTCCTGCTTGGGGGAGACAAAGCTGTGAGACTGTAATCTACTTTAACGAATGATAGGAGCGACGTTGTATATTTTTATTTTTATAAAGCTATTTGTATCATGTGGACTTCGTCATCTTTTTTTGCTAAAGTTTTTCTACAAAATTGCAATAATCCTTTTATCAACTCCTTGTTCCTAATTTTTATACCAGGAAAATACAATTTTTATAATAAGAAAAAAAGCACCTGAAAGGAAATAATAAATGTGCATGTCGTAGATAAAAAGTGTTGTAGTATTAGTCGATTTCCTGTGTTGCTTGTTAAGAGGATCTCCGTAAATTATCTGACAATTCTTTTTATTCACAAATAGATATTATAGCTCAAGGATCCTTCAAGCGAGTCAATAAAGCTATCTTGCGCGAATATCGGACATTGAGAGTCTCAGGTGTTTCTTGATAAGAACGAACGTGTCAAGATAATCAATATTCTTGTGTTATTACAATATCGTACGTACATATATTTGTGTCTCAACATCCTTCATGCTAATTCGTGCCAAGTGAAAGGACTCATTATAATAATAGCGATAATCAAAGGTGCATCATCAATTAATTAATGATAAAAGCACTTGGTGAAAAAAAAGTGCATACAAAATTTCTATAGTTCACAAGTCGTTGCAGTTCAGAAATAAAATAATTAAAGACCAATTAAACAATTAAATATATTAAATTATTCCATATAGTATCTAATAAAATATAGCATTTTTATATTTCTTTTCGATCATAAATCGTCACGGTACGAAATATGGACTCAGATAAGTAGTTTTCGCGATATTTTTTTCTGTCCGCGCTACCAACATTATTCGCATCAAAGATTATTCTTTGCGTGTGTCTCTTTCAAGAACTCGATAATAAATAGGCATGTCTAGAAACATGGCGAATGCAAGTAATGGCACGATTGCACGTGATGCGATGACTCATAAATTGACTCCCAATCATACGTTATTAATTCCTTGTTTTTCCGTAAAGTTAAGAAAACTGCGATTATACAGACGAGAGATCAAAGTTCATGCTGTGCGATCGTCCCCTCTCTCTTTCTTGCCATCTGGTGCATGCTTCCGCCACTGATCCCGGGAAACGTCATCGTCTGTTGTTGCCGGTGCACGTGTACTCGCAGTAGCGATATCTCTATTCTGATTTCATGACTAATGACCTCAATCTAGCGCGGCATATTTGTTACGCCTAGCGTATCTCGTCTTTGTCCGCTGTGCAGAAATCACGACGCGATTACATTGGCCAAGATAGTAGACAGGTTTTCCACGATTACGCCGAACGCGCGTTTCGCAAAAGCATATCGATTCGCTCGTATGAAGCGGGCAACGCATTCGCGTGGGTGTCACAGAGCAGAGATGGTATCGCAATAATTACAGGCAGATGCAAGGCAAGCTTTACGTAATCGCGAACCCTCTGCTTCTGACTATTTATTATTACAAGTCACGAGCACGTAAAAGTTCTCGTTGGAATATCGAGTCTATTACACGTCTACATGTAACATGTAATTCAAGTAGCGTGAAAATATAACATATAGAGCATCATACGTTGAACCCGGCGTGATAAGTTTTCGAGGAAATAACTTGGACTCTTTACAAGAGCGCGATTCAAGCTGCGAATACGCAATGTGACATGATAAAGTTCGGTGAACGCTATGAGAAAATAAATACCACTTAATTAACATACAAATGATCTTTATTGTTCTTTAAAGGAATCCCTCCTGGAGACAAACATTTCTGACAAAGTCATACAGCTTGCGGAAACTCTGTGAAAAGCCATCTTTGAATCCATCGCCTTGAGTCCTGTTACGCAGTTCTGATTCGAAAACGTGTACGGCAATTCTTGAGTCAACGTTTTGTTATGTACCATTTTGAATCACTCTTTTTATTCTCCCGACCTTGCCCCCGTAGACTTTTTTTTGCTTGTAAAGGAGGCGACGAAAGGGACTCGACTTACAAACATTTCAGATATTCGAAACGCG